TTACCTATTTCTGCTGCCAAGCATTGCAGCAGTCCGGATTTGAAAGGTAAGGGTGCTGGTGAAATTACAGGCACATGGGACTTGTCAACTTATGTCTCAGCGTGACGGGCGCAGTGGCGATGCCCCTCAGATCTTTGCGATTTAAAGCTCTGAGTGGCACTGCAACTGTTATCTGAGACCTCGACTGCATGAAATCGTTTTCAACTTCATGCAGCTGTGGTCTCGGCTGCTTGAAGTTGATTACAACTTCACGCATTACCTGCAAACATGCAATCAGTCTGTTATAGGCCTTACTGTATAAGGAGAGAGGTTCACGAATGAAATTAGTCGGTAACTTTTTTATGCTTAAATAGCCACCAGCGCATTCTTTAGTATTTTGGCCACATGATGTGCAGAGGCGATGAAAGTTTGGAGAAACTGATTGTGGTTGGAAACACGGAAGGAAAGCGAATACGAGGTCGTGCACCAACAAAATGGACCGACCAAGTGTAAGGGACGCGCTAGATGGAAACAAATGGAGGCAGGTCACCCACTTCAGAAGCATAAAGCTGACTAAAATCCTCAGACATGAGGGTACGACTAGAGAAGAGAATTAGTTATATTTACAAGAGTTTCATATGATAAAAGCACTTTCGACGTAAGATCATATGTGGCTTTTGTATAACAAGGGTACGAAATATAAGTATACTCGTTCTCAGCAATGGAACGTAAACGGATTAACGATGACGCGTTTATTTTAGACTTTGTTATTGAAGTCCAGCAACGTAGATGATACACAAAACAGATGACACGCGTTTTTTATGACTCATCCAGCACTAGTTTTCGATTAACACTACGCCAATTTAATTTTTGGACCAATTCTGTTTTTGTTTTGTTTCATATTTTTTACAAAATTTGTTAGTTTTTTGCTTTTTTTCGCATTTTGTTTCTATTTCTTTGTTTTTCACAAAATAAGGGGAGCATAATATCAGTAAATAAATATGGGTGTTTACAAAAATACAAGAAAATGAATGTTCATTGGAGGTATCGTCTTAATAGTCGTGTACCTCAAATTTCATATACTTTTCAGGCACATATACTTTTCAGTAGCAGAAGAACTCTTTGTGAAAGAGCCCGTACAGACAAGTACTGCTACCTAATCTTGAACAAGCAGTCATGTGAGCGTTACTGCGTTCAGGTTTTGAAGGGTAAGGGTGCTGGTGAAATTACAGGCACATGGGGCGTGTCGACTTACGTCTCAGGGTGTCGGGCGCAGTGGTAGTGCCCCTTTGTGGTTTAAAGCTGAAAGTGGTGCTGTAACTGTTATGAACGTGGGTGTCCCTGGCGCACGACTTGTTCGTCCCGTCACTTGATGTTATAAAAAAAGCCTATGGTAACCTAATGGTTTGATACCGGGCCCGATTCCCGGGTCGGGAGAAATATTTGCATGGCCTACATTTATTTCTACCGTAAGTTTGGGTGTAATTTGTGGTTGTCTCTGTGTGTATCCATTGCACCCGCAATACAGGGTTTGCTTAGTGCGGGGCTGAGTGTATGTTATTATTATTATGGACACGCGAGACTTAGCAGCCGACACTTCATTTGTGTTGGAGATTTAATAATTCCATTGCATCTGCGATTTTTTTTTATAGAAATGGTTGTCACACAGAAAGTGGTTGTCGACAGAAGAATGCGATGCCATTCATAGGATGCAAGAAATGACAAGTTATTGCGCTAGCTCTCTCTCTCTCTCTCTCTCTCTCTCTCTCTTTGAATATAACCGAATTTTCGGTATACACTGACCTACACTACATTTGATACGTCCGTGCTAATGCCTTTATCGGACCGCGGTCGCGACCTCGCCTTGTTTACCCATCATTGGCCATTAACGGCCCGCCAAGGCCACCCATTACCAGGCTTGTTATATGTTTAATTATGTACATTATGTACTACGTTGTAATTTGACGAACAATGTACGTTTCTATGAAAAATATTGGGTGCAAAGATCTAGGTCATAGGGATAAATTTACCGTATTCGAAATTGAAAACATGTTTATAAGAAAATTACACTTGAAAACGTCACATTCATTAAAAACAAGCGGTCACTGATAGGGCTGATTCCCCTGAGAAGAATTCATGAGTATAAGAAACTCAAGGGGTTGCTCTTTGTAACCAGACAATTGTTCACATTTATCAATTACATTATTAATTTCAAATATCATAGACAGAAACTACCTGAAAAAGCTGAACGGGTTACCACTGATGTTCGTCACCCAACTACGAAAAAGTTGTATAAAGTTTTAGTTTCACTATAATTTCAAACCTCGTAAATGGCAACTTTTGAACATGAACTGGAATTTTATTATAAAACCGTATATATTTCTTCACTCAGCCAGGTAGGTACTTTTATAGCTACTAGCAGTTATTGAACGTCAGGATGTCTGACCACCATGACATTCATTGTCAAAATTACTCCACTGGTTGATTATAATTATAAATACAAGGATAACACTTAGAAAACATTCTTCGATTCGAACCAACCTCTTCCAGCAAACAGTGTCAGACGCTATGCCAACTAAGCCACGTAATAAACTTATCGAATTATTCTATATATGTTTGTTGCAGATCATTGTTTTTGGTTTTTAACGACTTTTTTGCGGTTGCGCCGTCTATGACTATAAGTATATATTAGTATATAATAATAATGCTCACACACTAATAGCCCCACACTAGGAAAACCCTGTATCGCGGATGCCATGGACACACGTATAGACAATCACAAATTGCACCCAAACTCACGAAAGAAATAAATGTAGGCCATACAAATATTTCTCCCGGTCCGGGAATCGAATAGTTCGGCCATGAAGCAGTTAATATTTTTTATTAGTAGTAGTGCGTATTTTTTTTTGTACATTTTGTAAGCAACAGTTTTATTCTATTATCGCCATACAATTTATCATTATCTAACAATGTCTGCAGATAACAATGGCGAGAATTTAACCGGCCTCGGAATAAAATATCTTGAACAATTTAAAGTCAATTATCAATACTTGTGGGAACAAGTTCTTAATGAACCGTCCCGAATTTGTAAACGTCTTCGTCGTCATCTCCATATTCCTTCTTTTTGCCAATGGCCGACCAAGGCGAACTTAGTCAATCTAACCTAGTAACCTAGTCACCTTACCTATTTCTACTGCCAAGCAATAATCCGAGCATTATATTATTCAGGTTTTGAAGGGTAAGGGTGCTGGTGAAATTACAGGCACATGGGACTTGTCAACTTATGTCTCGGGGTGACGAGCGCGGTGGCAGTGCCCCTCAGATCTTTGCGATTTAAAGGTCTGAGTGGCACTGCAACTGTTATGGACAGGCATGTAGCTTACCATGAAGCGTATCACTTGTTCATCCCGTCACTTAACATTATTAAAAAAATGTCTGCTGTAACCTAATGGTTTGCTCTACTGTCTCTCAAACAGAGGGCCGTGGGTTCGAATTCGTGTTTACACCTGTGAATTTTCGAAATGTATGTGCAAATTTAATTTAAAAGGTTGGAGCTTCCACCACGTTTGTCTCTATGCAAGCTGACAGACTTTATGTTTGTTCATGTTTACAGTAACCGTAACAATGAAACCAAAAGCAAATGACGCCACGGGAAGCCTAAACAAAAAAATTGACATATTTTTACATTTATTTTTCTAGGTATTTCGAGCTTTTGCTATTTAACTCACGACATAGCTTGTTGATATATTTTTAGCACTAAAATCCCTGAGAGTTCTTTAAATAAAATCGTAAATAAAAACAATATAATGAAACAGTGCACCACCAATAGCGTACCAATGACGCAGTTAAGAAGTCTTAAAAATAATCCGCCTTTAACAAACTGTGGTTAATTATTTTAATAGGATTATGAGATCGGTGACGTTTGACTTTTCTGTATAATAAAATTATAGCCAAGAGTTGTTCCTAAAATGATATTCGAAGACGCGTACCTAAACTCAATGCTTTATATGCTACATGCAGTAGTCTACTGCAGGACACAGGATATTTCCAAAAAAACGCGTCATGTTCGCAGCGTTTGAAGACAGGTTGCCGCTCGCAGTAATCTATTTTTGTTGTTGCAGTGCCACTCAGAGCTTTAAATCGCAAAGATCTAAAATGCACTGCCTCTGCGCCCGTGACCTTGAGACATAAGTTGAAAAGTCCCATGTGCCTGTAATTTCACCAGCACCCTTACCCTTCAAAACCTGAACGTAGTAATGCTCGCATGACTGGTTGGCGGCAGAAATAGGTAAGGTGGCAGTACTTCTCTGGATGAAATCTTTCACAAGAAGCTCTACTGCTACTTAACCTATATTACCATACCTATAGTCACTAGTACAGGAAACGCTCCAGCCTTCTCGTAAACTCAGGGACATACTAACACTGTATGTTCTGTACTATTACCTAAATAAAGTAACCTAGTATCAACAAAGGCAGGCCATCAAAACAGCCGCCGCGCCAGCAGACGCCGTAAGGGCTTTGTTGCTAATTCGGGTGTTCCGCGTTGGCGTTGCGCCAGCGCAACGAGCAGGTTGCAACTGTTGCAAGACCGCTGCACAGACTTTTGTCAACTTCAATAATTGGAGGACATATTAGTTATTTACATAAAGCGGCAATGAACAGGTCGCATGTCTGTAGCAATGTTGAATGGTTTTATCATTACAGAGAAAATCGAGACTTAAGTGTACACCACCATGATTTGATGATCTGCATTGCTTCTGGTGCATTGTACATGTATACTCCGGGATCAGGCCCAGAGATAAACTTTGTAAGACAATCAATGTAATTATGAAACTATAAATATGTGTAAGCAACATTAGTAGAAGTAGAACTCCTTGTGAAGAGTTCGTCTTGGGAAGCATTTCCATCTTACCTATTTCTGCTGCCAACCTGTAATGTCTTTGTTTCTTTTTTTTCTTTTTTGTACTCTGTTTCGGTTTTGTGAAATTATAGGCACATGGGAAATCTTGCAACTGTTTTACCTTAATTCGAAGCCTTTGATCGACGCAATCCTTGAGAGCTGCTAAGGGCCCCTCCGTAACTTCTATTCGCGTTAACACGTTCTTGCCCTTCTTTGTTCTCGGTACCGTTACTAAACCTGCAACAAATCGTTTCTTTGTCACTGAAAAATACATCTGCATTACAAATAACAGAGGGGTATGACAAATTAAAAATGCTCACTGCTCAAAGCGAAAACCTGAAACTTGTCAACTTATGGCTCAGGGTAACAGACGCAGTGTCACTGTCTCTCAGATCTTTGCGTTTTAAAGGTCTGCGTCCTGTCACTCGGTATCACAAACAAAAATCTTATTAGACAAATTGACCAGAATCTACAATCTGACGTAGATAAACATGGGCGAGTAGCTGGATGCACTTGTAACATCGCTTAGGGCAGATGTGTCCAATTAAATATCTTATCCAGGTCAAATGAATTACCGCTTCACTGTAACAGGCTAACTACGTCACTCGGCTAACCATTGTACTAACATAGTGTAACGACTTCCTCTAATCCGAGTTGCTGACTTCATAAGCATCAGCGTATCTATATGGCCGTGAAGAGGTATGCGATTGGAGATCATCATTTTTCAGATTATTATATAGGGTTTTTAGGAAATGCGGTTACGGTCAATGGATTACGCTATCGAGAGATGTTAACAACTCAATTTTGGCCTATTATTGATGGTATGGATATCACTAACATGTGGTTTCAACAAGACGGTGTCACAAGTCACACAGCCACCGAAACAATGAATTTATTGCAAACCAAATTTCCCGATCCCGTTAAGTGGCCAGCTCGATCACGTGATTTAACACCACTGGATTATTTTTTATGAGGTTATGTTAAAGACATAGTCTATACGGAGCCAACCGAATCGTTTGCAGCCTTAAAACTGAAAATTCGTGAAATGATTAACGAAATAGACCCACCATTTTGTCAAAATGTGTTTAAAAACTTTAATGACAGAATCGACAAAGAACTGTGGTCGTGGTGAACATTTATCAGATATCACTTTCATTCATAATTGCCAAACCTTACTTTTTTTAATACAATAAAAATTTGAATAATTGTCATCTAGATTTATTGTTTTATTTTGATTTACAAAACAAAGTTCTTGTTGAAAAAGCCTTTATTTTAAAAATTTACTCGTCATTGTAAGAAGTAAATACAAAATTTGATACCCACAATTCCGGATAGGAGTGTCTGAACAATCATATAATTTAGCGAAATCCTTGTGCATAAATTGGTGTATTAATAAATTCAGATTTTCAAGGTAAACAACTTGTTCGACCTAGACAAAGTTTACATTTTTTAAACACGTGTAACTATTTTTAAAAACAGTCGATGTTGAACATGCAGCATTCCCTTTTTCTTTGGCAACCTAGGAATCAACTATCCTTTCAGTTTATCTAAGGTTAGCTGAAAGAAAATCATTTATAAGCTAAGCTTGCCTTTCCACACTAATATTTTCAATTGTTACTAACATTTTATGGTTTTACACAATTTAACCATCAATGGGTTTGAGGAGTAAGAAAGCAATATAGTTATAATTTTTACAAGTCATGCGCCTGGTATAACAGTGCCACTCAGAGCTTTAAATCGCATAGATCTTAGGGGTACTGACACTGCGCCCGTCATCCTGAGACATAAATTGACAAGTCTCATGTGCCTGTAATTTCACCAGCACCCTTTCCAAACCGAAACGCAGTAATGGTCACATTACCGCTTGGCGGCAGAAATAGGTAAGGTGGCAGTCTTCTATGTATCTATATTATCTATGTTTGTGCCACAAACAGTCTAACTTTGGGCTTGCAGATACAGTAGACAGTAAAAAGTACATTTGCGATGACGATGGCATTAATAACCTCTATTTTAATAGATTATCTCTTAAATTTAAACTATACACTCCTTGTCAACATCATTATTATATTTATGAATATGTATAAACGTCAGCGTTATATACTTATTAAATGCCGTGAATAAATGTCTTTATACTATAAACAATTAGTACCCATTATATAGAAGAACAGAGTCATCGTCCCCTGACGATCCGTAACCACCTGTGGTAATATTTACCACGTGGATCATCACTGACGTATTTTATGTCGTTTCACGTGCAGTTATTGTATTGTAAGGTATGGTCAAGAATATAATGCACTACGGCGATATATAACACTGTAAGCAAATTTTTGTAAGCTCGTGATATTGACGACGAGGTTTATTTTCGATAATGTTTTTTGCGAGTTCGTTAATGTCAAACATAATGTTCTTCATTCATAATGCTGTGCAGTGGAGGTGTTGAGTACCGTTTTAGCTTGTCATATTGATTGCAGATGTGAGATCGCGTAAGGTAAAGATAATATTCACTGACATTCTAAGGGTCGTATTCCAGAAAGTCAGGATTTGAGCAGACTTGAGTATGATTTCAAACACTGAAAATACGACCCTAATGGCAAGAACTTGAGTATGATTTTCATTGCTCACTGCAATACTCAAATCAGGACTTGAGTATTGAGTAGAGTTTTGGAATACGACCCTAAAACTATCAAAACTTAAGTAATAACATAATCACGACGTGACCATGTGGATAGCTCTTATTATTTTAATACAACCACATCATAATTCTAAAGTTTTCATTACTAATACGACCTGATAGTATTTCGATTTGTATCGAGCAGTAGCCACGATGTAAGAAGTCTAAATGAAATCAAGAGCGTCTCTGATTGGAACCAGTCCTTCATTAGGTATAGCCAATGCATCAAACATGCGATCTCGGCCCATCAGACTACCGCTGCCGTGCCGGCTCGAAGGACTAGAGAAATATTGGTAGTACCAATATCCCGCTAAAGACGAATGTAAGTAATAATTTCACAAATGGTACAGAATCTGGAAAAGAAAAACAATGAGCTAATAAAATTGTTTTCGAAATATTAAATTATAATAAGTTTTTATGATGTAAACCAACATAAAATAAAAGAGCAAACGACGAACGGCGATCGGTCATCGCACTCGTATAAGTCATTCGAACAGTGCACCTATTCAGATCCTAAACGATCGCATTATCTACGGTTCTGCCGTATGTTTAGAAAACAATAGTCAGCGAGCACTGTGGCCGGTTTTAAAATAGCTTAGGAGTTAGAAGCGATAAATCTATGCAGCTCTCGACCGAGGCAAGCGCAGCAAGGTACCAGGGCGGCATGGCTCGCATGCGGTCGCGAATTACTTTCACTCGGCTATCCCCGGGCGCTGACCGCGGCCGCGCGGGGTCGTCGCCCGCCGAGCGCGGGAAACGCACGCCGCGCACTCGCACCGGCCGATCCGCGCCGGCCGCGTCCGCGCCGCTCCGCCCGCCATTCAGAAAAGCGCGATGTTTACACAGATGCGCACCGAAACGCGTTCCGTTGCATCACTTCCGTTGCGTTCCGTTTTACGCACGCGTGCCATTTGCATTCACCCCACGACTACGGTTCAATTGACATTACATTAGCGTTATTCGAATTGTGATCACGTCTTAAGCACCGGCTTCTGATACTCTTATTAAATTAATGGTGTATTATAAATAACCACCCACGTTGCGAACTGCTTGAAATAATTGTTGCTAAATTAACGTGGCAATTAATAGTATGCACAAGTTATGACGACCGTCTCTCGACAGACGGCAGACGACCGCGAGCTGTCGCTACGATAACAGATCACGCAATAGGTAGGTAGTCTGTTATCGGCTATTACGATTCTAGTGAACATAATTAAAGTTCTCGCTATAAAAGCCGTAACACGCGTCTGGGATGTAAATTAATAGCGGAACACTTTTACTCATGCATAACTAATGAAGGGGACTTCTTGTCGCTTTTCACGGCGCGCTGTTGGGTTTTTTATGCGATGGTGTAGGTAAATTCTCTGTGCTCGAATCTCTGGATGAGTCGATGACCGATTCTCCAGGGTTGTGCGCGGGCGCAGGCGCGAGCGAGACGGCACGCATCCCACTCATGTGGAAAGCGGTTATGCAACAAACGTATACGCGAAAGTCGTCTAGCGAAGCATGCAACCATTTGAGATTGCAACTCTGTATAAATGAGATGGGCATTGAACGGCTATAAGATTTCGATACGATAGTTAGTATGCGATCAGAGATTGCTTATTCGTTTGCCGAGAAACGGTGTGTCATGGCTAGTTTCTCTATTTCTTCATGTATGCAACTCGACAGTTTTCCGATTAGGATTTCATAGTATTACTCACATGGTGCATCGTAACAGAAACGGTGAGTTAAATAAAAATGAAAGGCAACGTTCTATTCGTTACTTTCAATTTTAAAAGCATTTCCTTGTTAAGTGCTACTTAGTTAGAAGTAACTGCTGTCTACTTGTAAGGGGTATCTTTCGCAACAACCGAGTTACAATACAGCATTGTTAATTCAGTTACCAGAACGCATAGATCTTGGCTCAAATGAGGCATGGTTGTTACGCAATTGTGGCCAATAGATGGCGACACGTAGCCAGCTGCGCACTTCGCCACTTTCCAGCGCCATTTTTGTCCAATCGGCAGCAAAATAATAGGCGGTACGAACGAAACACGCGATTGCGTGCGCAGCTAACATAGTTCACTTAAACCAAATGACCCTTGCGATACAAACATTCGTTTAGAAATCAAAGATTTTTTTTTAATTTTAATTGCTTCCAAAAAGATTATAAATTTCTCCTCGATGGGGAAATTATGATGTTAATAGAGATATTCAATTCATAAATAAAGCCGTTAACAGTTAAAACTTTATTCGTAATAAAAATATCGGACCACATTTCTTCCAAATATTGAAACTAATAAATTTAATTTTTTACGACATTTCGCCGTCTTAACTGATTTCCCCTTGAGTTGTTTACGAAAACAGGCTTTGATAAGATTTGTTTTTTACGCGGAAAAATAACTGCGTCGGCCACCACACAATTACCTGTCCTTATCTACGAAATACCACGAAAGTCATGACTACAGCGCTTATGGTAACTGCAAACAGATTACCTGAAAGTGAATTCAACAAATACTTTGACAAAAAACTTGGATAAGATTATAGACCGTATTGGACTCTGATAAAGCTAAATTTTTTCAAA